GTCGACAATATCACTGAACTCCAATGAGCTGTACAAGATCTAAAATTATGTTTTAAATCATTCATAAGACGATAAAAAAGTAAGTTTTGTTCCTGAAGTGAAACCTTCATAACCTTTTGTATGTAGAGCAAATGCAGTCATTCCCTTAGAAGGAAAAGATATTGGAGAAAATAATTCAAGTAACATTTGAACTTTTGAATCCTTGTGTTCTGACTTTTTCGGTTCTTGATCAATCGGGAATGTGGATGCTCACTGTTGTTGTTGGTCGTTGGCTTACCACTCACAACATAAAGGCTCTGAGGAGGGCGAAATCGCAGGAACAGTTGCTTGTTCTTTGTAGAGTTTTTTCTGAACCCTTATAGATATCACGTGCTAAAATACTATTGCAAAGAATATAGATCAAATAAAGACTTTTAGCTCAAAACAAAGTCGGACATGGGTATGTGCAGCAGCAATAATAAGCACAGTAGTACTCCTAGTGTTTCAAATTATTCTTACAAATAATTTTGGTGTGGAAATGCAGAATTCATATAAAAACACCGCACAACTGATTCACGTGTATATTCACTTAATTATTTAATTATTTATCTATTTATCTATCTGCATGGAAACGTTTGCCTTATTGATATTTTACGATATTTATCTTTCCAGTGGGACCTTCTGGAGTGTTATCGCACCGGTCAAAGGCTACCGAGACACAGTAGAACCAAACTCTGCATCCCTACAGGATCGACAAATTGGTACTAAACATATCAGGCAGGGTAAAAGAAATCATTGGCTTTGGTACACTGTTAGCCCTTAAAGAAAATTGTACAGGATAGACATGCATCCAACTACTACTACGAGGTGGCGAATGAAATTGCCATGCATCGCATCACATAAATGCATTGCCCACTCCTCAGTGATCTATCAGCAGAAGTCTCTTTACTGTTCATCGTTTTACTGCGATATTGCACCATGACGACTGCGAGATCTATCTCGGTGTTAGTGGAAGGGATGAAGGGCGGTGGTTCGTGGTGAAGTGCATCAGGAAGCACGGTGCTGCTGGTTCGAATCTCTCCCAACGCTCTGTCCCAATTCATATTGAATCGACTTAGATCAGCTATCTACACGATTGGAAGCAAAACTGACTCGACCAGCATTCGACGACATTCATAAAGCAGACGAAAATCCTCAAGCAAATAACACGCGTCATGTTCGAAGGCCTTTTCGTAGACGATGATTGCGAGGACGAATCGAGTGCAAAAAGTTCTGGGATCATCACAGTAGATATGATTGCGGCTTCTGTAAAATAGTAATAAGAGATCTGGAAAAATAGTTAACATGTAGTTATGTTCTCGCTAAGAGCAGCTTAAAAAAAAGAAAAAGAAAGCGTAGAGGAAGTGTAATGTGCTTCATATCCCACGGACGAGTGCCGCTTTCTGTGCAATTCTGATGAATAAACATGAGTTAAGGCTTTGCTAGTTACTGACGAAGGTTCTCGTGATTATTACAGCTGATTGCTTATGAGTTATACTAGTCTTTATTTTATCTTCACGCACTCCCTTTACATACTTCCGTTTTGATGTGATTTAAAATTTTCTCATTTTCTATGGTTCATAACTATATTCCTTCACACTTTGATAAAGTAGAATGGTTTTAAAATGCGGAAAACGAGGCTTTATTTAACTAGGTTAGAGCAATTAACGGTGCAACAATGCTATGCGGAAGAGCATGTTCGAGAGACGAATATTCCTCCAGCAGACAAATTTGTGTAGATCTAAGCAGTCCTATTGTCTTTCCTTTCAAATTTGCTCCTTAACTTTCTGCTTAGCTTAGAGGACCGCTCTAGTTACAGCATTGGTTAATCATTGTAAGCTTGTTCATATGTGAATAGTTGCACTCTAAAACATTCGGACAACTTTATTTAATCCAGCAACACTGCTTTACTTCTTCGTTTTTAAAGAAACTACAAAGTAAGTTCCATTAGACAACAGTAAAAGTATAAAGCTCAAGCAAAGTCGCTACAACATCTGTAGTTTACATCACATAGTTTTACATGAAGTCAAGGTGACGCTAACTGCATAGAGGGTGTAGTTATTCTGAGAAATCGGAGGCAAAGTTTTATGAACCGTTTTACGTTGGAGACTTCATACTGTACCAAATGCTGCTCGATTTTGTTGGCAAATTTGTTAATAGATCTCATAACTCATGCAACACTTCCAAAATCATCCCTGGTTCTTCGTTACTATTCAAAAAAGCTACCGTATTAGTTCTTTTTTACGCAGCACATGCACTTATGCTTAAGACATAAGAGATGAACTATAACTATACTGATACAAGAAAGGCCTGAAGCTCATTGTTTTGTCTCATGCCTACTACATACTGCTTGGTTTTCTGTTACAACAACAGTTTCTTATCATAGAGAACGACGAAATGACAGATGCTTTACTCTTGCCACATAAGAAGAGGAAACTGCTACTCAGAACACCTAAAAATTTGAAATATTTGAACAATAGCACTCTGCTACATCCAAAAGTGTTGAAAATCTGTTATATTTTTGATTAAATTAAAAAACATGAAAAAATAGAAAAGAGATTAAGCGGATTTTGGTGTTTCTCCTCAGCACTTAAAAAAAGGATAAAGCTCTCGGCGTTGATCAATCCATGATAGATGCGCCATGCATTCGACTTCATCAAGTATCGATGGAGATGATTGCATGCATATCTGGCCTTTACAATGACTCGCAGTGGCCTATGGCCTACCGATGTATCGAGCCAGTGCTGCTATCCTCCCAGACGAGTCTGGTACCAATTTGCCAACCCCGGAGAGATGGAAGGCTTTGTAGGCCATGGGCGCGGGGATCGATTCAACGTGTGTGTTGCAGGGCGCCTCCAACCTTAGCACTAAAGTTTCTTGGAATTAGCTTAACAGCACTCTCTTAAGAAAGCAAAAGTTTTGAAACTACTAACATGATACACCCACAATGGTGTTGGGATGTATGCAAAACTCCAGACCATAGGTGTCTGCTGTGGAGATTGAACACGATATTGCCCTTTTTGCGGACTAACACGTTCACCACTACACCATACGGGTCGCTCATTTCACGTTCCTTTCTGTCGTGTTTTACAGGTGCTGTTAACATTCACCCGTCAACGAGATTAATGTGCGAAGGCATAAATCGACATTGGAGCTGTAGGATAAATCACAATGTAGTCACTTTTTTACTTACTGCTTGATTCTCATCATACCCTGCAATAAAAACACTAGTCTTAACTGGGTTCAGTGATGATTTGTGTTCCTCAGATCGACCCCGTTGACGGGTGATTGCTGATAGTACCTATAAAATACGATTGAGAGAAAGGTGAATTGAAGGACCCGCATGGTGTAGTGGTGGACGCTTTAGCCACCGGAAAGAGTAATACCGTGTTTGATCCAATCACAAGCACTTGCGGTGCAAGGCTTTTCAGATATCTCAGCACTATTTTGGGTATATTTGGTATTATATCCTGCCACAAAAAAAAGTAATAGGTGAAAAAAGTGACTACATTACTGACATTAACCTGCGCAGGCACATTTACAGGACAATGCGTGCTGCATTTATATCAAAAGTAGATTTGTGATTTTGCATTAAGTTGGAACTAAAACTGCTGATTTTTCCTTTGTTTCCTTTTCCTTCTACTGATTCCTAGGATTTGTTTACACTTAACTAGGCATCCAGATGAAAACATCGAAATCTTAGCTCAGGTGTGCCTCTATATTTGACTAACGCCTGCCACACATCACAGTTCAAGAAATGAATACCCAGCATCCATGACTAAGTGGTAGATCAGGGTCGTTTGGAAACGTAGCTGATTATTTGTCATCATCACTTCGTTTACATATCGAACGTTCACTGAGCACTGTTTGTTCTAGGTTTTCCAGAGAGCCATCCTAGGCAGATCCAATGTTGTCGTCGACGACGATCACTGCGCTAACAGAGGATAACTGATTTCGTTGTGATTTCTCCTATTATTCGAATGACTCGTTCGGTGACGACGAAGCGCCTGGATATGATCAACATAAAAAAATAATCTGAAAATTCCTAATAAGAACACTCAGAATTTGTAAAAAAGTAAAACTTCAATTTTTTATCCATGTCATAACATGAGCGGGGATTGTAGCGCAGAGGTTAGAGGTGTCCTACGATACGCACGCTGTCTTTGGTTCAATCCCACAACGCAGGCTCACCAAGCCTACCATCTGTTCGGTATTAGTAAATTTGGAAACAGACTTGCCTGTAAGGATAGCAGCCCTGACTTAATATATGTGTAGGCCACCACGAGTCACTGTATAGGCATAATATGCATTAAATCACCTCTAACGATGCTTAATGAAGCCGAATGCATGGGCATCCCTTAAAGATTGATAACTGAAAAGCGCTTTATCCTTTATTACTTTATTCCCATTATGTGGATTTTCTTAAGACCAGCTTGAACGGAAAAATTCACCACATCATCGAAGTAGTTACTCAGTGATCGTAAAATTTGAATGGAAGTGATCTAAATCAGACACTTAATCACTGACGAATATGGTTGGAAACTTCGACATTTTATCCCACTAGGGAAGAATCCGCTGAGAACACGAATGATTTGAATTTCATGGTTGAGAGAAATCGAAGCACCAGTGGAGTTTGCGAGTGTGCGAGTTCACCACGCAACCCTGAGATCAAGCGTCATAATATAGCATATCTCACTTTATTAGCAGACGACAGGAATGTGTCAGAAATCCCATTATTTTTTAAGATGCTCAAGTAAGTGTCGTTTTAGTGAGAGTGGCATTTATGTGATAGTCGCTGTATGATAATCCACAGCACACTTTCTCTACCAAGACTATTACTGAACAACAAATCACATGTCAACTCTTTTTCTTGGAGAGTGGTAAAGAAATAGATGTTCTTCACAACTGAAATTCTATACTACATTAAAATTAAATTGATGAATGTTCTACATTAAAATTACACAAGAAAAAAATAGTTACCTTCAGTTCTGCATAATCTGCATGAGACTCTCGTAATAGGCAGTCATATTTGGAACTTGATAGGTGAGCAATAATTTCGAGTACTTTCTCCTTTCTTCGTATTCCTGGATTTCTCTGAGAATCTCTTGCTGGGATTTTTTCTTCTCCTTTTCTCCAATAACTCGAGGGCTTTGTTCATCCTCTGAACAAATTTGTAAACCTTCAGAAGACGCCCCAGAGTAGAAAGTTTCCTTTCTGTGCAGTGGAACACCAATACTTCGCGTCGTGTCTTCTGGTGTCTTCTGGCCGCTTTTCGCAACAAAATAGCGAAAATACAAAACGATGCCAACAATGCATGTCCCGACGATAAACGGATGAATAACAGTAATGTAAAAAGCGAAGAGAAGAGCGATTAAACAGCCAGTCTCCGCCAAACTCATCCGAATATAAAGCTCTCTGAACTAAAAACCACTACCACACGGCTGTTGCGCTCTGATCACATCCCCCTCTCCTGCAGGCATACTTCGTCATCGATCCGTTTCCATTGTACATCGTAAAAATGAGCGACTATTCAAAAAGTCTAGTTTACAGTGCAAGAAGCTAGGTTGCCAGCAATAGAGGTTGATAAAACTTGACAAAACTTTATAAGCCCGCTATTTTTGCTTAAAACGTGATGGAGAGCTCCTAGTTATCTTGGTCTTCCAACTTAGAAAGAGTGATAGCGAAATAACTTACGTTGCAAAAGAGACTCAGGTATATCCTGGATTCTGTTTGAACAAAGAGGCAACAGTGGAAAGAAGCTCGAATTTAGTTTCATGACTATTCGAAATCCTTTTAGCTTATTACTTGTTTATTCGTTTCATTGCGGTGCTGCGGCGCTATTAGATGAACAGCAAATGCTCTTTATCAAAAGATTCAGTTCGGATGCCTAGTAAGGAGTAAAGATACGTTAAGCCAGAACACGGCGAGGTACCTGATGGCTGACCTATCTCTTAAACCACTAGACTAAATGAGGATTCATATCAGAAGGATGTTGTTGTGCATAACCCTTGAGTATCCCACTGAACATCCCCACTGTTCCATGAGAACGAATGGTGCTTACCGAAGTCTGTTCAACATCGTGATGCTTAACGAGGCTACAAGTGAAAAGTGGCATAGATGATTACTTCGGGCAAGTTTAATTGTTTTATGTATGTTGTTGTATCGCTGTGTTAGTTTCCATTGAAAGATGAAACGAAAGAACAACAAATTTCAAAAAAGTGTTAAGTTCCTTAAACATATATGTTCGAACGAAATTATTTTTATGGTGACAGATGGTACGAACGCTGTTTTGTTTCAACTGGCCGAATAATTGTGATGTCTTCCACGTTCAAGCCCTTCGTGCATTTTTCGCATCAACAGCTTTCTTGTTGTCCAACAAAATTCCTCAGAACTGTCAAATTCAATATTATTCGCTGTTGATAGGTTAGGATGTGTTTGGGAGAATGGTTGGAGGTGCCTTTCGTTGTACACATGGTCAGTGATTCGATCTCAGGGCGCCGTCCAACTAAGCTTCTCATCCCGTTATGGTTTGAAAATTGGCACTAGTTTTGTTTGTTAAAGTAGAAGAAATTGTTAAGTAGATCGCTAAACAATCTGAGACCACTCTAGAGGGTAGATGTGAATATAATCTCCTCTACGATGTTACGAATGAAATCAAAATCACTGGAGATCCCTAGAAGACTGGCCAATACTATCCATGTTGTTCTTTTGCTGCAAAAATGAAGCGTTCTTTTTATTTTCTCACACGAGTCGTCTTTCACACCTACTGTGTTGGTTGCAGCACTTCTCACATTCGATTCGTTTCTTCGCGTCCATAAGGTCTTCCAACTTTTACGTGTAGCTTCGCCCTCTGCCTCAGAATTTTACTTTCATCTTGGATGTTGTAAAATGCTGGTACAGTAGTCCTTCCTGAAGTCCTGTGATATCTTGGCTGGAGAGTCACCAAATGGATTACAAACAGCGACTTTTCCCGGACAAGTCTGGTACCAAATTCCTACCCTAGATGGATGAGAGGCATGTTGAGCCTAGGGAGGGATTGAGCCAAAACCGTGCTCGTGATGATCTCTAGGTCACACAACAACCGCTTTCTATGAATTTTCCATTGAGTCTTCCGCGTGGACACTAACGGGGCAAAGTTCACATAGTTTTGTAGTAAGCTCCTCTCATGTTAAAATATCAACCAAAGATGTTGCATGATATCCCTAGTGATAATAAAGGGTTCCTACCTGCAGTAAATTTCTGAACTATTAAACATTGTTCAGAATGATTCGAGGGTCTTAAGCGCTTCGAACCTACCAGTGGGCACAGGAAAGGAGCAGAATGAAGAATCCGTGAAATTGATGCCGCAAGTAGATATTTAGTACGCATGTAGTGGCTACGAGACTGTTGCTCCTCGTCAAAGGTGTAGAGGAAAAGCTTCCCCCTTAAACAAAGAGTGATAAAGTGGTCCCGTTTACTCGGTCCTCCATTTTCAACATAAAAGCATAGATACAAAACGTTTGTTAAAAAGGTACGGTCTAGAATTGCTAACAGTGATTGAGACCTTTTACGTGAAACGAAAAATGGCGTAATTAGCCCCAACGGTAGAAAAGGTGATTGCATCAGTTCTCGTAGGGTTTACCTGATGTCTTGTAAAGCGCGCGAAGAGCAATCTGTTGTGGAAATCGCTAGACTACTATACAACCCAATAAACGAACACCTAGTCGGTAGACTTAATGTTAAACTAGACACTATCCTAGGCGTATAGGGAGAAAGATTTTGAAGTAGAAGTGCTTATCGTCGCACAAGAATCCAAAACGTATTAAAACAGTTGGAACATTCGGAATAGACTTTAAAAACCCGAAAATAAGCTCAGAAGAGGAAACCCTCGTGGTCTCGCGAGATCTAACAAAATGCTTCAGACTGATATTTTAATCCGAAAGAAGCTCATTACCGAAGCATGTAAGCACTGTCGGGTAAGTTTAGACGTGGAACACTAACTGGAAGGCCCATAGAAACAGTGAAAAGGCAATTTTGTTTTTAAAATAACTTAGAAATTAAGCATCTTGGCTTTTTTATTGGTGTTGAAAAGTTTCGCTGACTAGACTGCAGTTAACATCACCCTTCCAGGACCTGGAGAGGACAAAATCCGCGGAAACGTCAGTTGCTGTTAGTAAAGAGCACACTCACAACTTCATGCGTGATTACCAAGACAATAGCGATTTATTTATTAATACCAACTTTAGTGGTAATTCGATATCCGGAGTAGGCAAATTTTTGATCTCCTTACTATGGTTTTCCTTCCAACTGTTTGCCTCCTTGGGATCGTGGCCGGGAGGTTTTTTGGAGTGTCGCGATGTTGTGAGGAGGGATTCAATCTCCAGCAAGATCTCCCAAAGAGAAGAAGTCCGCTGTTTTCATCAGAAAGCCCTGATAAGGGTAAACCAATACCACGATCCACCGCCGTCCTGGTTTCAAACCAGTCGTATGGTGGCAAATCCCCTCTGATCCGCAAGGGCGGCGACTACCTGTAGTGTTGACGACCTAGGCAAGACTTTGGCTAGGCTAATCTCTGTTCTACAGGAAACCACTGCGGTCCACATACGCAGTGAAAACGGGCCATCTAAGTATCCAAGTAAGAAGTATTATAGTTTTAATCGATTTGAACGATTACTTGATAGGTACAATAACATTTCCTCACCACAGAAATATGTGAGTAATCAATTTGAAGAGAAGACACAACGACACATTTTCTCTCTGTTTATTTTTTTGCATTTTTTCATGATCTGATCGCTCAATGAACAGTTGAACATAAATGATGACAACAAGTTACGTATTGCTTTGGCAATACTTTTTTATTCACTGTTCGCCTCTTAATTTCTTAGCAGATTCCTTGCAGTCACATCTTCATATTCTTCATATAGCTTCAATGGTAAGGGAGGGTGACTAAATTGAACAGGTATCCCAGACATCATAGTCTAATTCAAAATAAAAATTGTTATCTGAGACTAAAATGAAACGGTTCCGGTTTCGGAAAAAAGTCGTTTAAAAAACGGCTGCTTCTGTTCAGTATTTTTCTTTTAATAAAAAAATTGTAGCCCGACATGGTTGCAGTAGTGTTTAGAGTTGAGCTGAGACGCGCGGACATGGTTGTTGATTCCACTGAACTTCATAGAAAAACTTAGCTCTTCAACCGTCCGAGTTGGCAAATTGGTCGTAGCAGGATAACAAAACTGCTTGACACATCGGTAGGCTACCGGAAATCGTTATAAAGATAAAACGTACATTCAGCAGCCTCTGCGATGGTGCACGAACGGGGCCGAGAGAGTGTTAACTCCTCTATAACGGTTCAACGCCAAAGCTTTTGCCCTCTAACCGATTATCAAATGTAGTATTAGCAAGGAATTTTTGTAGTGGTTGACATTCAGGCGGCAACGCCCTCTTCGAAGCAATTCAAAACTGGTATTTCTTGTGACGTTTGAGTTTTTGGAGTCCCATCGTAGCGAATCGAGTGCGAGGTAATGCAGCATGAATTAGATATAAACGGTAAGAATAAAGCACTCAACATTGAACAAGATGATGCGGTATGACGCCTTGCATTCGACTTCAACAAGAAATACACAGGTGAATGAATGCACATCTGGCCTATACAATGACTGGCGGTGGCTTACTGATCTATCAAGTCAGTTCAGCTAATCTTCCAGAGCAGTTTGTTAGAATTTGTCCACGCTGAAGAGGTGGAAGGCTTAGTGTACCCGTTGCGATGAGTCAAACCATAGACCAAGTGTGCATCGCAGAGCATCTCTAACAACTGCGCTACTCGATGAAACACTTTATCAAAGAAACAAGGTACATCAATCTTTTTCACGTAAACCTCATCGCCATACACAGAAGGCAAAAACAACCAATGTAGTTGAGCAGTGTTTTGTTGGTAGTTGTAAACTAGTTGGTGGATCTTTTGTTCAAAATATTTGTTCAGAATGCAATTCCACAGAGTCACTGCCTAACTGAAAAGTTTCCATGTTTCAAACGTTCAAGAGTCTTTGTTTCCCTTATATCTATCCGACTATGCTTTCATATATCAAAGCTTCATTGTTTCTCTCTGAACGAATCAAGAAGCGTATGACTACTAATCGATAATACAGGACATTTGTAACATTTCTATCCATAAAAGATTGTTTTCAATACTGCAGCTGTAAAATGATGTAGGAGGTATGTGACGACGATGACAATGACGTATTCGACAGTTGCCGCCAACAGTGCAGAGAGCTTAGAGAAACAGGTCCGTGTTCCAGGATGAAAAAAGGAAATAGAGCAGGAATCACGTTGACCGCTCTGCTTTTCATCGAGAAACTTGTCTGTTTGCAAATAAGCTCTGCTCTTCATTAAAAATTAGAATCAAGCACCCATGGCAAGCCAT